TGTCTGTGTGCCTGTGCCACGCTGCGTTTAACACAAATGAATATGAATGCGGGCAGAAGAGGTACCGTGCGCAGGATGGGGAGATCGTCTGCGAGAGTGCTAAATAAAATTTAATGTAGTGCGAAACGTTTATGAGCTGCAACCACAGCTGATGAGAGCTGCCTGCCGCGGGGAGTTGCTGCTGGGCAGCAACGAGGCGGAGCGGTAAATAAACAACTGGCAAAGTGCGCAAAAAGTCGACTGGGCGTGTTAGTTTGGTCCCTCTCGGTATTCAAAACTCACTCCCAAACCGATACCGTTCATCAGCATTTTCTTTTGGCAATTGAAAAGTTCGCAACTCTTCTGCAATTAAGCTATAATACTCCAACTATCCCCTAAATAGCACCAAAGAAGCCTCCCAATCCTCCAAAATACCATCCAAATTCCATATAAATCCCGATCAAATCACGATCAAATCCAAACTAAATCCCGACTAAATAAAGACAAAATCCCTACAAAGTCTAAATTAAATCCTGACAAAATATAGAATACAATTTTTAAATTTTGTAAACCTTTTTATATTATACAAAGTTAGCTAATGAAATACATTTTATGAAAGAAATATGACACTTTCGGGTGCATAACGTTCTTTTCTATGAACTGCAAAATTGATTTAATTTAATTTAAATTCAACTTTACCCTGCAGAATTCTATGCAGCTTGCACTTCAACTGCAGAGCAGACCCTCATCCGCATTTTCGACAGCTGAAGCGCTGTTTGATTTTCAATTTAAATATGGAAAAAATTTGTATTCCAACTGCAATTGGCATTTGCCTCACCAAATGTATTCGAACTATTTTCCTTTTTTTTCTGTATGGCACTGCGCCTTTCGGCTGGAAATCGCAGAGGAAAAACTGCTTGTAATTGACAGCACCAGGACCCCTGACAGTTTAATTATTTTTCCTACCGCCTATTTCTGTTCTGCGGTTACTCAAAAATTTAATTGAAATGGATTTTTTTTACCAATTATGAAATTAACATTTGTTAAGTTTTTTCTGTTACACACTAGACATTTTTTAATGACAAAATGTTACTCCAATAGTCAGAATGACAGCATTATTTTTAAAGCAAAAACGACTTTTACTCATCCTTCTTAAAGAATTACTTTTCTGTCTCGGAAAATATTTACAGCAGGAAGCCATTGGGAAAGGGATGTCCTTTTAAGTAAACTCTCCTATTTGTTTTCCCTTCAGACTTAACCAATAACAAGTGGTAACAACCTATACAGACGTCACTTAAACTGTCCAACTGTGAAGCGCAGTTCCGCCGTTCTATTTCCCTCAAGTGTTGCTCCGTTCCGGGGGCAGCATCAATATTGGAAAACAAAACAAAAAGAAGAAAGCTCAACTTTGGCGAGCCCATAGCCAACCTAAACATACATTCATTCACTCGTAGGCAAGAACCTAAGGCTGGCGGAACCCATGGACAATTTCCGTTTCCTGTTGCAAGATGAACAGCTGCTGCCTTCTGTCGCTTTTGTTGTTTCGAAGGCGTTGGGAAAATAAAGCCAATAAAAATGGCCGCCAATTGCGGTGAAAGTGCGGAGCTAAAGGTCCTTTGAGATGTTTCTGGTCAGGGCCTTATAGGTATTTAAGCAATGGAATGATTAGTTGACTACTTCAAAACCAGAAAAGAATGAAGTAAAAGTATCTTCTCTGTACCCCAAGTACTCACCTGATTGGAATTGTATCCGTCTCTACTTCAATATCTCCTGACTGGCGCACATATCATGGAGCAAAGCCGAGGCTAAGCATCACATTAGCCTGGCCACTTAGCAAGGGCATTAGCCTGCTCAGGTGCCGTCCGTCCTTGGCCACTTTCTTGGGCTGGTCAAACGCTTTGCTGGCTTTTAATGCGTTTAAGCGCACTTACTTTGGCTTACCCTGTGCGATGGCTGCTTACTTGGCATTCGGTTGAGCGAAATTTTCAGCCAGATGTCAGTGGCCACCCACTTGTTGCCTTGGGCCCTTCGCCCACATGTGAGCTGATTATGTTAATGCGCGGGCCCGTTTAATGCGTTGCCAAGTCAAACAGCATTTGCGGTGCCTGGAAATTAAATTAAAAGTACAAAAAATACAAAAAAGTTTTGAACTACAGCAAATGGAAAGTCCATGAAATACAAAAGTTCTGTGTTAAAAGTGCGCAATTAAATTAAAAGTTGGCCGATTTTATTACGATTTTATGACTTTCACTCAAGAGGTGAAATTACCAACAGGTCAAGCGGGAAATGGTCGAGTATATATGTATGTATGTTATTTGGCTGTGTGAGCTCATTACAGGGGATTTTCATTGAAGGCTTTTCCAGTGGAGCTTAAAACCGTTGATGGAGCAGAATGAAAAGATTCTCTTGTCTTTGGATTTACTGGTAGGCTCTTAATATGAGAATATATTCAAGAGCATTTTTAAATACAATTTTCATTTCAAGTATATACATTTTTTTAAAGCCATATTTATTTGCATTACATATATAAAGTCTATAAAAATAACATTATTAATTTATAATCTTAGAGATGTTTTACTATATATATATTTTTTTAAACTTAACTTAACTTAAGTTCTGAATAACAAGAGTATTAACAGTTCGGCTTAAATATTATTACATCTGCCTCTCTCTCGCTTTTCGGCCATTTCTTGGTTTCCGCCTTACCTTTCCCTTTGTTTGCTTTAATTTCCACTTTTGGCCTTCTTATCGAGAAGGAAAAGCTTCGGCTTCAGCGGGCTGACCCGCATTTTAAAGCTGCTTAAATGCTTGGCGAAGCGACCCCCATCGTTGTGCTGCAGGGTTTGTGCTGTTTTCGGAACCAAATGGAGGGCAATTTGCGGGTGGGCAGCAAACAAAAATTCATTAAAATTTTGCATATTTATAAAACTTGAGTGACCCCCGTTGGCGCCTTGGGGCACTTTTGTTTTTAAAGCCTTGCCCGTTCCCAAATTTCCTTGTTTATGCTTCGTAATGTGGCAGCTTAAGTTTTCTAGTCAAAAAGAAAAAACTCAAGCCGAGTGTAAAATATATAAGCACGGACCGGGGGGCAGCAAAGAAAAAGTTTTTAATATGCGGATAGCTTTAATTAAATATGTTTTCCACTCGGCGAACCCAAAACGCAAAGGAAAACAAAAACAAGCAAAACATTATGTGTTTTTGGGTATGTGTGTGTATTTGTTTTTGGTGTTATTTTTTTTCTTCACTTGAAACATAAACATAAATGTTGGTCGGTGTGGCAAGCAAACAAGTTTTTCCCTTCACTTTTCTTTGCCTGTTTTCTCTCTTTTTCCTCTTTTTGTAGACTTTTGTTGTTTTCCTATTTAAGCGAAAAAAACTTTTGGAACGAGAAAAATTTGTGTAATTTTTTTCCTCTGTTTACTTTGGTATTTTATGTTAGTGGGTTCTAATTTTGTTGTACTTAGTTTCTGCCTTTGGCATTCATTTCGCTTCTAGGGGGTTTTGAATTACTTAAATTCTTGAATAACTTAAAAATAACAGCAGTCACACAAAGGATAATAAATATTGTGAACCTCCAAGTAAAGGCATTATTTTCTTGGATTATATTCATGATTATTGATATAAAGTGAAATTTTAATTTTTATAAATTATTTTTCATGGCTTAAATTCACGGAAAAGCATCTCAAGTAGGTGTTTGCAATTCATTTTCCATACAAAAATCGATGTCTCCTTCCAATCAGACAACATATCGCAGTCGTGTAATCTTTATTTATTGATTTCATTATGGAGTTAATATTTTACTTTATTAAAGAACGAATGAAATACGCCTCTCAGCGCATTCACTGAAAATGTATTTGTAATGAATTTCTTGATTTTATTTTCTCTCCGCTTCCCTTGTTCTTTTCCTGCAGCCATTGTTGTGCATGTGTGATTTCTGAATTTCTTTTTACACATTTCTCCATTTCGCCGCCTACGAGAGAAGTTTAAATAAACATAAAATGGGCGACACTCCCGTGGACGTGTCTTTTCCTACCTCCCACACTCGCCCACCATATTATTCCTGCCCACGTATGTATATCTGAGGGAAAACAACAAATTGACATATCGAGGCCGAAAAATTGCAAAAGCTGGAGACAGAAAATTTGTGTTTCGGTCTCGCTTATTTTTTGTTGCTTAAATTGTTGTAAAATTCATCGGATATGAAAATCTAATGATTTGTAAAGGCGTCGATAAGCGGAAAATGTGTAAAGGGATAGGCGGCCCGCCGCCGCTGGGTCTGTTGGGAAAAAGTTTACACTGCCTTCTTACCCCCTTGATGATGGGTCGGCAGAGTGGGCAGGGAAAAGGATTTTCAGCATTTATTGAAATATTAATATTTGCTCATATGAGTGAATGTTTGGGTGGGTCGGCTGAAAACTTTTCATGGCATTACGCCCACACGACCATGGAAATTAAAGCCAACCAATGTTTGCCCAAGAAAATTCAGTTGGCTGAAAAGTTTTGTTCGGTCCGGCCCCAAACCAAAAATCAATTCGAAGTTTTGCCCCAGGCTTGGCGAACTCTTTTCCCCCCTCTTATTTATGCTGTTTCAATTTTTTCTTTGGTTTATGGGTCAGGCAGTGAACCATCTGGGGATATTTCTGAGCTCTATATCGGATTAAGAGCCATTATCTTTTTGGAGGCTAAATTATGCCCAACTCAGCTCGAGTGTGCGGTGGAAATTTATTGTGTAAATTGTATTTATTCTAGATTTATAGATACACATGTCCCATGTATAAGTACATATAAATTTCTTAGCTCCCTCTTGAGCCGAGATTTCTGGTCTTTCGTGCTGGCATTAAAAAATATTTACAGTGTCTAGACTTGCCAGCGCATAAATCAAATGCATGCGAGTTTTCTTCTTTCGCTGCAAAAAGGAAAATTCTCTGAGACTGTGACTTTGTGTTGGCTCTTAATGTGCAACGTGTGGCGAAGCAGAACTGCAATATTTATCTTTCCTTTTTTTTTTGTACAAAACTATATAGTGAGCCAAGTTCAGCTGTATTTAAAAGTCAAGCCAAAAATCATTAGAAGGCTTGATTACATCTTCGATGAAATAAATGCTTTCCAAACAGTAGATTTGTAATTAGTACAACTCTGGACTAAGACTGGGGATGCAATGGATAATTTGGAAATATTATACAATGAATCTTAATTAAAATGAAGGCTATTCTCCGCGCCTTAAGCCGCTCGGGTCGAGCAGAAAACGCATGCCGAAGGCAAATCGATCAGTGGGCAGGCTCATGACCACACTGAAACCCATCTGCAGGGGCAGATTTGTGAGATATTTGGTCCACATAAAGCCCACAGAGGCATCCGAATCGAACATTCCGTGAACTGTGGAATTCCAGAAGTTCCACCGATAACAAATGGTGGCTATAGTCTTGCGAGTACTACGATTCCAGGCCAGGAGGTTGGCCATCTCGATTTGTGGATGGATGCGTTGCCAATAGCTGATGTCCAGGCCCTGTCGCGATGCGGAAGCAGCCAAACAATAGTTGTAGTGCGCGTAGCTGAAATGGACAGGTAAATTAGTTTGAAGCTGATTAATTTGAAGATTTTTACCGAGCTGCAATGGCCAGGCCCGTGTCCAGTTTGCTGGGATCATTCCACTCAAGGAGCACCTCCCCGCCGAGGGCCCAGTGAGCGGACACCGATCGCATCATGGACAACGTGCAGCGCCCTGTGTCGCTGCGAACATTGTAGAAGTTTGCCGTCCAAGTGTCGCACTGTCGCGTCCATTCGATCGTGTACTGGCTTTCCACCGGTGTGTTCTTGTTGGCCTTCTGCATCACGGCCTCCATGCGCAGTGCTTGGAAGGGATAGTAAAGGATGTTTAGATTGGAAGCCAGCGACGAGGGATGTATGTCACCCGTTATAGTTGGTGTATACTGAAAAACAAGAATGATAAATAGAGTTCAGGCTTAATAACCTGCATTTATTACTCGAAATTACGACTCACCATTGTGTCGCCAACAACGCGAAATGTGTATTGACCACCGAATCGAAAACCTGATGGCCTTATATGGCTAAGAACCCAGGCTGCCGTGATGTACTTATTGGGCGCCAATCGGTGCAGATAGTCCAGCTCGATGCCGTCGTAGAACTTGGGCATCACCGAATGGGCCAGCAGGTGCAGGCTCTGGACATTGCCGGGATTCTTCTTGTTGCAATGACCGCCAATTCGCTCGAGACATTCGGGGAAAAAGATGCCCATCTCTGAGGACCTGTTGGGGGGACAGCTCTTGCATGACGACATATCGATGATGGTGTGGGGTCGTCCAATAAGGAGAGTGCAGTCCCGATCCTTGGCTTCTCCAAGTAAAACAGTCTAGGGTTGTGGGCAAATTCGAACTGTAACTGGAATTGTGTTTTTATTTATATTTCACTCAGCCTTCACCTGGCAACGAGAAACGAAAATGTTACATAGACCGGATAGCTGGCTGGCTGTTCGATCAAATATTTATGATATACACGGATGGTTGAGGACGGTTACATTACAGACAACGCGCATTCAAGCAAAAATATCATCAGCTGTCAATTGTCATTTTATGCGCCATTTCATGGGCTCCTTTTCGTCCCGCCTGTTACTTCTCGGGCTTGGCACACCATTAGGCGCATTTCACACTTTTTACATTATTTATATGCCATCGTCTTCTGCCTTTTGGTTTTTATTCCCTTCGTCTGTCCTTTGCCATCTTCATTGCCGCTCCGCTCCTCGCTCCTTGCTCTCCGTCTCCGGCAGGCCATGAAATATTTAAGCACTGAGTCCAAGCCAGCTTTTAAAGGATAATGGTCGCAGCGACGAAGATGCGGATGATGATGATGATGATGTATGGAGCGGAGACTCGCGTGTGACTGTCCTCATGGTTGTTTTGGGTTTTCGGTTGGGCAGCTGACTCACCGAATGGAATTATAGATGCGATAACCTCAGGCGACAAATCAGTGAACCCCGAAGTGAATAATTTCTTTATTAAATTCAAAGGAAACACGAGCTATGAGAGCTATAATTCGAAATCCTTTAACTACTTAAAACACAATTTTCTTAATTCATTTTTTAATTTATTCAAGCCTTTTTAGAACTTTTATTAGGCAGCATCAAGTCTTAAGCCGAAGTAGGATTATTCAATTATTTTTAAAAGTCCTCATCCATTACTTCCGCAGAATCTTGTCTCCTATGATTGCTGTATTTCTCTCCGGAAGCGCACAAGTTCTTAAACTTTCTATCTCGCTTATGGCACTTGTTACCTGGCTTTAGGCCCCATTTGTAAACCGGCCTTCCAACTATATTGGCCGTGGCAAAGGCACAGGTAAATATGAAGTGCTCGTTGTTCTTGAAGTAGATCACAGCGCAGCCGAAATGCGTGTTGCGTTCATTAAGCAACAGGGCAGCCCTGAACTGGGCTCTGCAATGAAAGTACATTGGTAAATATAAAAGGTGTGCTCCCATAAGTAGAAATCAATTAATTTGATTACGTACTCTGTTTCAAATCTGTCTGGGAGGTGGAGGAGGTGTTTTCTTTCGATATGGTGGATACCGTTTGTCCAGTATCGGACCACCTGGCTCATGATGTTGAAGTCTGATTCGGGGTCTTCATCAAAGCTCTTAAAGACCTCTTCAGTTAGTACGCCAATATAGTAGAAGTACGGCGAAGTGTGACACAGGTGGGTGGTCTTGCGGCACAGAACCACATCGAGATGAGCGAACCAGGCCAACTCGTTCGACCAGGATATCTTGGCCATTCGAGCAGCCTGGGGAAGGGACCGATATTTGCCACCGGCCACGTCGTTGCGCAGGCTGTTGAACATATTGGAGAGGGGCACTATAAACCTGGTCATATCCAATAGTCGGGGCCCCTTGAGAGTGCAGTATATGAGGGTCTGGAATCAGAATGTTCTTAAAGGTAATTTGTTTCAAGGTAGCTTGGAAAAACCTACCCCGTTATTCATGCAGGCAGTATTACTAGATCCACAAATTGTCGATGTGCAGTAGCGTCTGTCCAATGATCGATCCAAGGCTAAAAGTTGGCCTACTAAGCAGGCCAGGAAAATAATTGTTGGCCTCATTCTGGTGAAGGTAATTTCACTACTGAAGTGCCCAATGCAGAGAGCATTACCTTTTATAAGTAGTATCATCAGCTCGATCTTCAAATGTTTTTCATGAAATGTACTTAATGAAAAACAGCTGCGTAACAATTAAAAACTTACATGAGCTATTTAAATCATAGTTGAAGCTGCTTTTCCTGTAATACAGTTTCTTAAAATGTAATCAAATTTGCTTGGCCACGCCGCAATGCTAATACGCTCATTGGAAAGAGCATAAATGACAATGGCAATGACGTTTGCCAGATGTCCTCTAAGCCGATTTCCAGTTGGAGTTCATGAAAGCAAATGCAAAAGTTGTTTATTCAGCAGCTCAGCCGCCGCTCAGCATTCTGTACATTGCCCCGACTCCGCCAAAAGCTAAGCCTCCGCCAACCCGGTAGTGGAGACATCACTTATTTAGACGGCAGCACTTAAATTTATCACTCAGCCAGCAGCTGGCGGCCAGGCCGTGCCGTCTGGTTTGTTCCAGCCATTTGCTTTAATTTAATATGCTAAAATATATATATATATATAGAGGAAGACCCACCCGCATTCTCAGTTTGCAAATCAAAGCTCAACGCGACCGCAGAACTTTTGCCGGGAAACCGCAGGAGAGCTCAAAGGGAAAGCCGAATTGGTTCTCTCCGTTTTGGGATGGGCGATTCAACATGATAATCATAAGTAAATAAGGCGAGTAGTAAGGATGGAACTTGTTGTGGCCTAATTGGGGGTTGTGGCTCATACTCTCGAGGTAAGGATATAACAGCATTTATTTTATAGAAAACAAGCAAATTAGTTTAAAAATTCAATATAAATGGTAGGTATATTAAATAATAAAATTGTATAAATGGTAGCCATCATAATCAAATTTTTAATTGAATTTATTTCATAAATTTAGTTACTGCTTACAAGCTCACAACAAATCAACTTTGCTTTGACCTTAACCTATAATTTACCATCTATCAAATCAATTATACATTTGCAATTATGTATTTGTAGTTAAATACAAAAAAGAACTAACTGTTGCACGGGCACTATTACCAACTCACCTGTTATTTGGAATACAAAAACAATGACCCAATTCAATAGTTCAACAGTTTTAAAGTTCTTTCTGATATTCGAGGGGAAAATGTTGTTTCAGCAATCGGATTTCCATTAAAAAGCTGAAACCAAACAACATATAGTTTCAAGTGATGTTTGTGGTCGAGGGCAATTGAGTTTCCATTGCTGAATTCGCTCTGTTCCCTTGCATCTTTGCCTCGACCACTATTAACTTATGAGCTTTTCCCGATAAAGCGCCCGAAAAAGTAGGCAACAAAAAGGGTTGGCCAGCCCCGGGAAAATATTCAAATGAATATAAATTAAAATTGAAATATAAATGATACGCTACAAATGAAAAACACTGCGAATAAAATAGAGCAAAAAGGATGTGAGTAAAAAATGACAACATTTAAAATATTTACTGCCCAGCATTGTGGAAACTGTAAAACATCGATGAAAAACAATCAAAAAAAAAAAAAAAAAAACAATTCAATCGCATTTCGATGCACAAAACTTTATTTATTTATCTTCTGTTTTACAGTTTTTTATGGCATTCTTTTTGTTTGCATATGTGTAAAATGCTTACTTTCGTGTTTATTTTTTTAATTGCTCAATGTTTTTTATGCATTTTGCATATAATTTAATTGTATTTATTGCGCCTTTAAAAAAAAATGCCATGCTAAAAAAAAAGTAAACAAAACAAACAGCAAAGAGGAGTTGAGGCTGCAATAAATTTTTAATATTTTAAACAATTTCCATTTTTGGTATGTGGAGGAGGGTTGCACTTCTGTAAATTCGTTATCGATAAATTTTATTTGTGTTCATTTAAACTTGTTTGAGTGTGCGTTGCCCACCTCAGGGAAATTGAAATGGTATTGTTGCTCTTGCAACAACAGGAGGGAGAAATTAAGTTTATACTATTTTTTTTTTGTCACAACAAATATTTGGAAACTGAAATGAACAAATGGCAGAATGCAAATAAAATATTATCAACTAATAACGAGCGAATTTAGTAACAACTTTACAAATATTTTTGAAAGCCAGTTAATTAAAATATTTCAGCAAATATTTAAAGAAAATATTATATGCTAGAAGTTGAGGGAAAATAAATGAACATTGGTTATTAACAAATAAATATATTAAAGTTTAAATGCTGACAATATTTTGACTAACAATGCCAGATAGAAGGATGTAAACTAGTTAGGCCGAAGGAATACTCTTCGATTTGAATTCAAAGAAATTGAAAGTGCTTGGAAAGAATTTGAAATTTAATAATATAAACCTTATCTCGCATGCTGCGAGATCTCAACTCCTTTGCTCTTATTTCAGCTCCATTAAATATTTACAATGAGGCAAACAAATCAAAGTGACAACAAACAGAGCAGGCCTCCCACCCTCGGCGCTTTTACTGATTTTCGCTTCACCAAATATTTGCATACCTCGCTGGCTTTTCCTCCAGAGAACGACTATTTCCCTTTGACTTGACGTGAAAGAGTTGGCAAACCGAGTCGTCGGCACTTGGGCACGATTTGCATTAAACCCGCCGGCTCCACAAGCCTCCTCACCCCTGCCATCGAAGTGGCTAAAAAGTGTCTGCGACACTCTGCCATTGGCATCCATTATTTTGTAATTATTTAAGTGCCTTCAATGAGGCACCTTATTGATGATGACAGGGGTTTCCCGGACCTCCAGCCCACTACCCCATCCCCACACTCAATCCGCCCTGGAGCTGCGCAGGCAATAAGTGAAAAAAATCAAAAAGCCATAAAAACTTTACACAATCGAAACGTGCAAAAGTTGATTTTTGCCAACGCCAGCAGCCAAAGCTGAAGAGTGGCCTCTCGTTCCATTCAGAGAATAAAAAAAGGCAGACAACAAAATCAAAGTGCGGCCAGCATGTGAAAGTAAACTTTCTTTTTCCTTTTCTCCTTCGTTTTGCTGTTGTTGTCGCTCCTGCTTTTGGGCCGAAGATGGGAAGCTAATACGAGGACAGCACAGGACATAAGAGTCCTGGCCAGGGCGAACGAGGGGTAGAGGCTGGGGGCTGCACGGGGCCAGAGATGGCCAAATCGACCCATAAAAAACGAGGGCGAATAAAAAGCGCAAGAAAATTACTTTCCGCTCTACAAATTCCCGCAAGGGAAGAGGGCTGCCCAGGCACAGTGCTTTAGTAGCTAGTTATATATAATCGGTAATTGCGAAAAATGAATTATAATAATAATGGCTTTAAAATGGTATAATATATATAAATAACAATGTTTGCCTTTTTATAATTATTTGCAAATAGTTTTATGCGTAATTTCTATACGTTTAAAGTTCTCCTTTGGCTTTATTTTAATATTCTGCAATAATATTGTTCGTATTTATTATTAATAATAAAAATGCATTAAAAGAATCGTGTAATTCGGACACTGTGCCACATCGAAGTCACCAATCGGGGCCATCCACAAAGTCAAGCGTGTAAAGTAAGTAAAGTTGCGAGTAAAATCCTTTTCCGCCTCTTCTTCGTCTTTGCCATCGGCTCTTTTGAGGCATTATGTACTGACAATTTTCATGATTATGCGCTTACGGATTTCGAGAGTGTCCAGTCCGGCTACCCTTCACATTCCCTCTTTCTTTCTTTCCGGCCTCCTGTCCTGCCACAGCACTCACAGTGTCCGGGTGAGCGCAGCTGTTAAGCCTTTTCCGTTTCCGCCAGCGTTTACTTTTTTGCAGCTTCTCTTCCTAGTTGATGGCTTGACTTTGGCGCCTAGCTGGGGTATTGATAGTATTGAGATACCATTGAGAGCACGGATCCTGGTTATGGCCATCAAAACGGAAATGAACATGGGGGATTCCATTCAATTGGCTTTCAAGGATACCAAGTCCTAGTGTGTGTGTTCAGTATGATGTGAAAGGCGTTGGCGGACATTTTACGGGTAATTATCGCAAATGTTCTGCCGGATTGCAGGAATGGCCGATGATGGAATATCAATTTGGGAAAAAAGGGAGTGCCAGAAAAGTGAATGGAAGATTAAAGATAAATATGAGGGTTAGGCCGTCGCTTGGGTTAGAAAAAAGATGCGAAAATAAGATTGTGCAAAGTGAATTTCTGTCATTCTTTGGAGGATTATTCGCAAATGAATTAGTGGGGATAAAAAAATATTACGATATCCATTTACAAACAATCTTAGATTATGAAAGTCTGCTAGAATATAAAATTGATTATCCCCATATAAAATATATTTCCAAAGATATTTGTACATGCTCCAAAAATTCATTAACCCAGACGGAATTTATATCCCAACCGAAAATTTAATTACTGTCGAGCATTTTGATTACCTACCCCAAATCGGTATGGAATCCGCGTTCGAGCACAAATCTTTGCCATAAAATTGTCATAACTGTAAAGTTATTGTGACATTTCCAATAAACGGGAAGGAGACGAAGGAAGATGCCAGCTGTGACTCCTTCTGCCTGCCCTTGGGGTGTTCGGGGCGTTCGTTGGTTAATTTACTACAATGCGCCCAATATGCAGCATAAATAATACCGAGCGCTCGACATAAATAACCGGGGATGTTAAAATTGGCAGGAGCTGCGACCTGGAGATGGGGCATAGGGATACGGAGCAGCAGCTGCTGCTGCAGTCAATTTCAGCGTTCGTCTGTAACTGTAACAATTAATTAGAAACTAACAAAGTTCCACTTGGCAGGCGCTAAACTTGTCCCAGAGCGCCAGGACCCAACCCAACCGAACCGAACCGAAGCGAATCGAATCGAGGGCGACAGCCAAGTCTAACCAAGTCCAGGACCAAGTCGAAGTGGAAGTCGGAGTCTAAGTCAAAGTCGAAAACGAACACTGTCGCGCACATAAAGCGCTTTTAATTGATTTTCCTGTTACGTGCACTGGAGAATCGAAATTGTCGCTCCTAGCACCCAGGGACCCTTGCCCCGGCCCTGGCCCATTCTGCTGCCCGTAATCGTTCATTCATTCATTCGAATTGTAGTTAATTAATAAATTATTCCGTGCGATTGAACTAACAATGTAGCTGTGTGGAAACTTTCCCTGCCGGTGTCCTGTTCGCATCGCTTTAATTACCTTTTAGTCCAGGACTTTCCACTTTGTTTAGCCTGGCAACTCTCTTCTTCTTTTATATATTCAGGTTTTTTCATCTCACTTTTTTTTTTTGTGCGTTGCCTTTGCTGCAATTAAACACATTTTATTTGCGAATGTTTATGGTGCCTGCATGATGCGTATACGCAATGTGTTCGCTCTGCTGCTTGCATGTTGCGTATACGCAGTGTGGCGGCCAGCTACCACAGGCTCGTAAATGGTGCGTGGCCCATTCGAGCGTACATATTTCTTTTTAAAGATACGGTCAGAGCATAAACATTTAGCCTTAGGTCTGCCTTGGCCCCTATTCCCAGGCCCCAATTAAATTTCGCTTTATTTTATGTCCAGTAAGTGGGTACATATCGTGGCTCAGGTGCGTGGCAAATATAGCAGAATTTATTACAAAGCTTAATTTGAACAATTTTCTTGCAGGAACTTAAATTGCATGCAACGTAATCAGTAAATTCTACAAAGAAAAATATAATCTATTGTTTTTAAGTCCATATATATATTGGTTGATATTTTTTGTTTGTCTTCAGCTATCGTTTACCATTTAATATAGCATTTCACAAAGATTTTTAATTGAAATATTACCTACACTTTGACTTTAACTTACGCCAGACATATAACTTTCCATTATCCGTAAGAGAAAGCATAAATCAGAGGATATTTATCGAGAACATATTGCAGTTTTTGAGCAAAGAAATTTCATAAATCCAAAAGGCAACCGAATGGTAAATACAATTTTCATAAAAAATAATTGAATAAACAACAGCACAAACAGAGAGGAAGACGAGCTCGAATCCGGGGAGAGCAGAAACCAAAAGGCATTAGCAGCAGATTACTGTCCCGGGAGCAGGCGGCGTCGGATGGTGGATACTAGGAAGTATTATGCTCCAGCTTGCAACTTGCATCTCGAAATCCGACTCCGACTCCGGCCCAAAGAGTCATTAGCAATGTGACCCAGAACTGGACGAACCACATAAAATTTTATGCTGTTTGCCATAATAAATTTAATTAAAAAATCAAATTGACTCAGACAGAGAGAAAAGTCGAGCAGCAGCAGCAAAACGAGCACCAGCATCCACTTGAACATTAGCTCCAGTTGCCTACGAATGTGCTGAGTAATATTTGGGTCAACTTCTGCCGGTCGACATTTGGCCTAATGGCCGGCAGAAGGCATAAGACTAGGACTGGCCAGTCAGATGGAATTATCAGACTTTACAAAATTGCTTTCGGACATTTGAAGTGCATTTTATGGAAAGCCTAGGACTCGAAATGAATGGGGAAGAATTAATCGCAAAATAAATGTCTCCAGCTCACCTTGAAGAAGTCAAAAGTTGGGAGTAAAACTGGAGAAAACTTTTGTTTTTCTTTTTCAATTTATTTTTACAATGGCTTCTCTTGGCTCCTTTTCATCCTTTATCAATTTGTTGGAGTTTTTCTTTTATGAGTCGGCAGTTAATTAGGAAACAAGGAAGCGAAAGGGAATGAAATCAAGGCCGCTAATCAACTGGATGGCAGGAAGCAGGCAACTCGAAGGTGTTTGAACCGGAAATAAGGTAATCCAGGAAAAGAGCCAAGTCGAGTCAGAAAATTCAAAATGATTTTTGAGTTAATTGAAGCCAAATTGGGTTTTGGGGTTGAAAAAGAAGGATTAAATTGGCTTTCTGTCTATACAATTATACTTTATTTAGGTAATCTTCGCTTGTACATATCAAGATTTTGATGCTGCCTAAAGTAGCGTTCGCATTTTCTCCAAAAAGTCATCTATAAACTCAGTTTCCGTGTTGTTTAATCGTTTCACTTGGGAGACACTATACTCGTAATTGGCTTCATCGTTCAGTCGCTTATAGGCCGCCGCACGATAAAGCCAAGCACGCGGATATTTTTCATCTATGTAGGTAAGGACATGGTCGCAATCCATAATACCGCGCTTGTATGCCCTCAATCTTTTAAAATAAGAGATTAGAAGGCGACATTTGATCGATGAAACACTTACTTGATGTAGCACATGGCACGATTCACATATAGAACTGGGGTATCCTTCACGTACGTCAGACCCCTCGTATAAAAGTCTATTGCCACTTCGAATCTTTGTTTGCGATACTCAAAGTTTCCCGATCGACGAAATGTTTCGGCCACAATTTCCCTTTGTTGCCGGGCCAAGATGCGATCCTCTGGCTCTGGTTCGATTTGTCGCATGAAAGTAAATTGATTCGTGTTCATGGGGATTTTTTTAAATTTGGCTCGTCTGAACGATGACCGGACATTTGTAGGCGTTCGTAGAGTGACCAGAAAGTCATCGTCCTGCGCCACTGATTTGCGGTCAACAGCGGTTTTCCTAGCAGTCCTTGTGGAACTAAATGGATTTTTCTGTGAAATTTATATCTATGTGATATATAGGTACTGTTACTCACTCCATCTTATTGGCATTTTCAATGGTATCCAGGTACTCCATTACCTCTTTGACCATCGAGGGCTTCTTTAGGAATGACTCATTGGCTTCGAGATATTGGTAAACTGGAACATCTTGTGTGGGTTGTAATTCGAAGTTTAAGCCAAAAACATTTTCCTTTTTTTCCAATGTCTTGGACATATTTTGTTTTTTTTTTTTAGTTTTTTTCTGGTTTTGTATGTTTCAAGTGTTGTGTTTGTGTTGGTTTTTTATGTGAAGTGTTAATAATTGACAACAAAACCATACTTATTTGATGATATTTTCCTACGTTTTCCCTCAAATAAATCTATTATTCATAAAACAAAGTATTCCTAAGAAAATTGAATATTTTATCTACAGAAAGTGTCACTCAAGGTTACTATTGAAATATATATATCTTTTAATTCCCATTTTTGCTATTTGCTTATTTCCTTTTGTCTTCGTTTTCTCCTCCCCTTTCCTGCCCTTCTCCCACCCACTTCCTGCCATCATCTGATTAAATATTCCTCTCAAATTAATTGACTTTTGCATCAGCAAATTAAATTGTCGCGACCCAGAATCTTTTACGCTCCACCACAAAAACCGAATTCAACCCAGCTAAAAACCCGGTTACCCACACCCAGCAACTTCTTCGGTTCTTGGTGCGACTGCCGTAGGATATTTCTGTATAAAATCCAATGTGCTGGGAGCGATTTTTAATTTGAATTAAAAATGCATCATTGCGTTGATTTTAATGCACACACAATTAAAACGGCAAGTCAGGAAATTGCCAAATGCATTTAAAAGCCAAGAGAAAATTCAAATGCGAAAATCAATGAGCAATTGCGAATGCAAATTGGAAAAATCCAGGCGAGGGTGGAAAATCAAAAGCGAAACAAGAGGGTAAAAAAAAAAAAAGAAAACCAGGCGTTGAAATTAAATGAACTGAATACAAATCAAACTAATGTAGATACGACTACATACGCACGCTGGATTTTTCCGCGGAAAAGTTGAAAAGTCTCGCTCGCTAATCGCTAATTGCTTTCAGCGAAACTGTGGCGAAAATGAGGAATGTGTGGATGTGGGGCCCCGGGGTGAGCTGTAATTGTCGCGCTCTCCAAAATGCTCAATTTGCAATGCAAATGTCAAGCATTACTTTGGCAGCTTTAGCTTTAGTCGACTGTCAACAGATGGCGACGACATCGCGCGCCTCTGGAAAATACTTTTATAGCCGCTTTGGGAGCGGGAGCGGCAGCGGGGGAAGCTTCAAGCTGGCAGTGTTTGGCAACAGCTTAGCGCACAATCAATTAAACTGTTTTATTGACACTTTTCCTATGACACAGACACACACTTGACACCAATGCACAAACACATCACACTGGAAATCCAATAAAGGAAAGATGGATTCAAGTTTGAAGGACTTTTGTACACTCTACAGCTCATTACTGATTAAATATAAATACACAACTTTTCATAACTACTTGTTCCTTTCCTTTTCAACATAAAATATTTATTGAAAATATTATTTTTCTTTTATATTTATAACAACCACTTTTCCCAACACACCCGCTTTACCCTATAAACGCATGAACGCCACCATAAAAAAAGTAAACTCTGCAATTAGTTGACTTAACTTCTATGACATACAATTGGCAATTTATTAAGGAGCACAAAAGGCATTTTTCTCACTCCCTTAGACTGCCGCACTTCAGTGCTCAAGCGAACGGAAATTGAGTGTCCTTGCAGAAGGGATTTATTTATGGTTCATAGATTAAATACTAATTAACACCCAACCACACACACACAGAGCGAGAGAGAGAGAGAGCTGGCATTTGATTTATGTGTGGAGCTTCTCCGCCCGACGCCCTTGTGCGTGTGTCCTGTAAGGATTAGACGTCCGGCTGGAGGAAAAGAATAACAGGCCGAGGCGGAGGACCAAATATTTGCCTGGCCATTGACCAAGGTCCTCCTCGACTATTATGCGTATCTTAATGCCATAAATTCTGCTTAAATTATTGGGGTTGGTTAACACGCTCCGTTTTCGTTTTCGGTTTTCTGTTTTCCGTTTTCGGTTTCAGTTTCGCATTTACTTTTATGCTCTTCATTTGTTTTTTGTGCTTTAGTACCCATTGTCTGTCCGTTCATGTGGGGGCCAACTGTGGCCACCTTTAAGGTCGCATTTCGAGACGCAAATTACCATATAAATATGGCAGTGGCAGGGTACGCATTTTTATACACTTACAGTGGGGTATAGTTCTATTATTTGGATGATTATGTGACTTTAGGAAACCCCCTGGAGCTTAAAACCCTGTCTTTTATAGAACAAGTTCTTTTTGGTAAGGTTTTTACAAAGGTATCGAAAGAAATGCTAGAAATTAATAGATTGTTTAGTTGCCAAATCAGATTTACATCTACAGGAATTTGTTTGCAATCCCAGATATATTTAAAGAAGAAATAACCATAAATAACTAATTTCTAATACGACTTGTAAGGGTATTTATATATTCGGTCCCAAAAGATATCTTTCCACTTCTGTCTGCTTTTTTAGCAACATTCTTTCAGGCATTGTTCACAGTGCACACTCTCTGAAGGCGCTCGATGGAATTGGTAGGATGGCTTTTCCCGTTAAATTTATGTGTCTGCATGTCGCGGACGCGTAAAAAACCTGCATAAGAATCAGATTCACAGCGCTCTTTTTGAGTTGGGGGCGCGACGTATAATCAAGCGAGACAATGCACATAAAGTCTGCTCAATTCGGTGGAGGTCTGAGTGCGTTGATTAACGAGTAACTGTCCAGTTATTCGCCAATATACCAGAAAAAAAAAACAAAGAGGTGGTAACAATTTTATGGAAATATTCTTTAATCAACTTGATTCTTTGTTGGCTGTTATTTTCCGAATTTATTGATAATTAAAGGGAAGAAGGGAAATATTTTTCTGCGTGTGTCCTGTAGCTTTTGGCCTGATCCACACATCCGATTATGGTATTTATCGGCCTATGCAAATGAAAGAGGAATGCCATTTCTGTGCGGTGCATCAGGGTTTAAGTCTGCCTCATTTAAATGCACTAATTAAATGTTATTTAACATAAAATTTCTGAAAAATTTAACGGGATGTGATATTTATGATGACAGCAAACGACAGCCCTATGATAAGATGATGGGGTTCAGAATTTCATAAATTTAAAATGGTTTCATAAAGTATTATATTTAAAGAATGTTTTTCCTTTTTCTAAAATATTCTTTAAGCCGTGTTTTTTTGGTTTTTGACATCACTTCAAATCCGTTAAATCCTAACTTTAATTAAATGTATATATGAGAATTCATCATCTACAATCATTCGATTAAATAATCAATGTGTTTACTTTCTGTTTTCGTTTTTTACTCTGATTAATCCACATTTCGTATGCAATTCGCTAGTTGAAAATCCGGTACTTAATCGAATTAATTAAAAATTCATGGCTCGCTAAAAGCCCAGCTCGTGAAAAGTCTACAAAAAGACCAAAACAATTTCAAGTTGAGCGCACAAAAGCCAACCGCATATCAAATATGCGTCTAGGTGGGCCTGCCGTATGTGTGGGAGCGTCATTAAATGCAAATTTATTTAAATTCCATTATTGAATATAATCAGAGCAGAGCTCTGAAATCGTTTCGGTAATCGCAACCAGAAAACTGGTTGAATGTTTTCACTTGGCGCCAATTAAATCCTCGAATGTAAAACACAAACGCAAAGGGAGCAGCCCCCTACGGTGGTCTGCGTGTGGAAATGCAAATATCCGCAATTAAGCAATAATAATAAGCATCATTAATAAATCATTGCGTGTGCAACAAAAAAGTGAAATATATGAATAAATAAAAGGCCATGAGCCGCCCACAAAAGAGTGTTTCAGTATTTCAAGAAGCGGGAGAATCGGTGTTGCTCATTGAAACCCATTGACAGTTGGCGGTGTAGTCATGTGTGAGTCCCTCTCTTTGTAATCCGCCACAGAAAAGTGCAATTAAAATTTCGAGAACAAAAAAAGGTGCTTAAATCATTGAATACTGAGCTTTTCACACTAAGAAAATAATAGATCATGCGATGAACTGATCTTTAAGTTCGACGTCATAAAACAATGCACTTTTAATGTTGTTTTTCCCTTAAAAGACATAATCAGACCTTAGTTTTGTAGTTTTTCAATTGCCGAAATTTCAATTTTCCCCTGAAAACCAATAACTCATCGATCACGACATTTGGCTCTGGCTCCGTATAGACTAAACCCTCGAAAGCAGTTTAGTTTCTCGCCCCTGCGAACAAAAAGCAATTAAAACGTTTTCCTTTCCGTGGCTTGTTTCGGGGGGGATTCACCCTCCGCTCCGTTCTGCCCGCAAAAACACTTGACACTACAAGTACGAGTACAAGTTACGTTCTCCTGTCTCCTGGTCGCGTATAAAAGTTTGGCACATTCTTCTTGGACACTCTCGTAAATTTCGGAATGGACGTTTTTATGTGTGTATGGCAGCCGGGCACTTCAAATAATTTCAGTGCACAAAAATTTATTGCAATTTTGGTAATGAGTGTGCAGCTCAAGGAAAAGCAAGAAAATGGTGAAAAAGGAGAATCCGGGCCAGGACCTTAGCTGGTTCCTTAATGCTGTTAGTGTTTGCCCGGCGGTTTTCCTGTTTGTTTGTTTGCCAGTGCGCTCTGGTCTTCTTGTTTGAACTTTGTGGCATTTCCGCTGCATTTCTTTTGTGCTCGTTTTCCAGCGGAAACGGAAGTTTTTAATGTTGCCCATTGGCCGTAAGTTCGCGTGGATCGCTCTCAAACGTTTGCCGGCATTGTTTTCGCTCAAAATTAAATGCTTTTCCATTGCCAGATACTTGAACGGACTGCTTTAAAAGCCCATCTCTGAACGGCAAGCAAGCCAACAAAAGCGCATTTCGATGTTTTATTTTTGTGCAAAAGTTTTGTACAGCGGCAGCCCGCATTTTTGTTGTTCCCTCTCATATGGTAAAAGGCCTATCCGCAGCACAGGAGCCACAGTCCAAGATAAACATACACAAACAGCACACATACACTGAGTTTAAAAATATCTGAGAAAGGAATAATTTGTATATATAAAATGTATATACGTAAAAATATAATTTTCATATAGCAGTAACCAGAAAATAATTCACAATATATTAGCATGCTGTTTGGCAATCAAGTGTGGCAATTTCTATCCAATCTAAGTAGATTTTATTTTTACTGTGTACTCATTTAGGAGAGTATGCAAGTGGTGGTTTTGAGGTGATGGGAATGGGACTTGGAGCCTCAAGTGCGTTTACG